ATGCAATTTTTGAAAATTTTAAAACTTCAAACAAAGTTTTTTTTTTGCAAAGAGTGGGCTGCTCAGGTTGACTTGCGGCTGTATTTTACCTATGATATATACACTTTACTCCTAAGGAACATAAGCTGCTAAGTCTAAGCAGTTAAGACGCTAGAGTCGATTGAAATTCACGAAAAATAATTAAAAAAAACACTCATTTTCAGCACGCTGCCGTTAATCAGAGGTATTGACTGAGCAAATTATCGATGCTTACACTTAAACTACTATCTTTCCCCCTCAGAATTCCGCTTTAATAATGCAGTTATCTTCAAAAAAAAAAAAAAAAAATTTAGAGGAAAAGTCGATAAGGCTTAAAAATATCGATTTTTTAAAAAGTCTTAATTTAAGTAGGCGGAAACGAGTTTTTATAAAAATCAACCTCGTGTAAATTTTCTTCTTTGAGACCCTAAGGAATAGTTCCTCGAAGTTACACAAAAATCTAAGATGGGTCAGCTTTGCCAATTAGACGATTTTAAATGGAATGACTCAAAAGATAAATAATAAACTTTTAACATTATCATAAGTAAGGAATACCAAAATTTGAAGAGAATGTTTTACTATACTAACCAATTTTGAAGAGTTGTAGGTTATTTTTATACAATTCGACATTAATTAACTATAAGTATATCTTAATTTTTTTTTTTTGAAGTGAAAACTTCTTTAACGGCGTTGAGCACTTTTGTTAGATGGGTAAAAACTGTGAAACTCGCGTCAGGACACGCGTCGTAAGACGGTTGGAGAGTAGTGATGTAACATCGAAATCGATTAATCGAACAATCGATTGTTTTCTTTCGATTGTCGATATTTTTTAAATTGGAATAAATTGGAATAAATTGGAATAAATTGGAATAAATTGGAATAAATTGGAATAAATTGGAATAAATTGGAATAAATTGGAATAAATTGGAATAAATTGGAATAAATTGGAATAAATTGGAATAAATTGGAATAAATTGGAATAAATTGGAATAAATTGGAATAAATTGGAATAAATTGGAATAAATTGGAATAAATTGGAATAAATTGGAATAAATTGGAATAAATTGGAATAAATTGGAATAAATTGGAATAAATTGGAATAAATTGGAATAAATTGGAATAAATTGGAATAAATTGGAATAAATTGGAATAAATTGGAATAAATTGGAATAAATTGGAATAAATTGGAATAAATTGGAATAAATTGGAATAAATTGGAATAAATTGGAATAAATTGGAATAAATTGGAATAAATTGGAATAAATTGGAATAAATTGGAATAAATTGGAATAAATTGGAATAAATTGGAATAAATTGGAATAAATTGGAATAAATTGGAATAAATTGGAATAAATTGAAACAAATTGGAATAAATTGGAATAAATTGGAATAAATTGAAATAAATTGGAATAAATTGGAATAAATTGGAATAAATTGGAATAAATTGGAATAAATTGGAATAAATTGGAATAAATTGGAATAAATTGGAATAAATTGGAATAAATTGGAATAAATTGGAATAAATTGGAATAAATTGGAATAAATTGGAATAAATTGGAATAAATTGGAATAAATTGGAATAAATTGGAATAAATTGGAATAAATTGGAATAAATTGGAATAAATTGGAATAAATTGGAATAAATTGGAATAAATTGGAATAAATTGGAATAAATTGGAATAAATTGGAATAAATTGGAATAAATTGGAATAAATTGAAACAAATTGGAATAAATTGGAATAAATTGGAATAAATTGAAATAAATTGGAATAAATTGGAATAATAATAGGCATTGAGGAAAATATAAAATATGTAAGTTATTTTTGAAGTGAAAACTTCTTTAGCGGCGTTGAGCACTTTTGTGGGATGGGTAAAAACTGTGAAACTCGCGTCAGGACACGTGGGCTGATCGAAAATTCGTAAGACGGTTGGAGAGTAGTATTGTAACATCAAAATCGATTAATCAAACAATCGATTGTTTTCTTTCGATTGTCGATATTTTTTAATCGATTGTAAAGGTTTCGATTAATTAAAAAAATCGATTTTTTAAAAATCTATTTTTATAAAACAAAGCCTACACAGAACACGAGGCTAATGACCTTAGCAGTCGATGCCGATGACACCAAATAAAAAAAAAACAGCCAATAAACGTGCAATAAATTTCAATTTCAAACATTTTTTATACGAGACTTCTTGTACGAAAATTTATATATTTATTCTCATGACGCATCCGCATTGCTTTAAAAAAAAAATTGGAAAACGCTTTGATGAATTGCCAATGATTCTGAGTGGAGATTTCAACATTGATTCATTGATTTTTCTGAGAGATAAACTTTTTAATGTAATACAATGTAATTTAATGTAACATAAATTGTAATGTGTGTGTATGATAGCGCAATAAATATTGTATTCTACCACATAAATGATAGTACTTTTCCAAAAAATCAAAAATGCACAACGTTAATATTCAAGTTTTCACTTCTGCCGGCACTCCCGGAGTGCAACCCGTGTTTTTATTAATTATTTTGGATTATTCTTAAACTCCCATTTCATGTTCTCATGATTGTCATTGTGGTCATTTCAAATCCCTTGAAAACCTTTGAAAGGTTTTATCCAAATAAAAAATTACTTACAGGTGACCCTAATTTCTCGAATGAAATCTCTTCGTAGGGAAATTTAGATATTTTTTTTTTGTTTGGCATAACTCCATTATGTCTTTGTCAATGTCAAATTCAATTTGTTAAAGTATCATCTCCAACTATTAACTATTTTTTTTGTCCTTGTAACTTTTTAAGTTCCTACTTAAATTTCAATTTAGGTAAATTACTTTGAAATGGTTTTTTTTTTTTGTTGTCTCCGAATCATACCACCATTTATACAAGGTATTGCGATATTCAACTTGTTAATTTACAAAATTTAATTTAGAACGATAAACCCTTTAAAAACTTAGTTTCTGAGATACAATTATTGAAATTTTAAAAGTATAAATGTTTGAAATAGGAATATTGCCGATATAGAAAATAGATATTTAAGATAAATTACTGTTAAGTTGTAATAAATTAATTAAATAATAAACTGTTTTAATAATTACAGTTATAATATTTTTAATATTATGTTTATGGTGGTAACTTTTACCATTGTTTTATACTACATATACAGTGTGTCCAATGAAGACAGAACCATATGGGTATTTTTTTATTCTTACTTTTATGAAAAAAATTAATTCCTTATAAAAAGTTCTGTACGGTCTAAAACTTGAAATACAATCATCAGATATCAATTTTTTTAAGCAGAATAGAAGATTTGTAAAAAAAGATGAATTTTTAAAACATTTGATATCTGAATATCGTCGTTTAAGAAACAATACCGCCTAAGTGACATATTTGTTGAAATTTGGATTTTGCATTAAATATCCCAATAGCGCGCATATGCATTGTCTAACCTTGCCTGACGGTGGTTTTAATCAGCAGTTTTGTCTCCCCTCCTGTTTTAAAAATACCGCCTATTGCAAATCATTTGGTAATACCGCCGATGTCCCAGTTAGAACGTGGTATTTGGAAGTTATACTAATCACAGGCAGTTTTTGGGCACTTTTTTACTACATTAGGTAAGTAATACTTATTAAATATGGAAACTATTGAACTGTACATGTTTACTTATTAAAATAAAGTATTATTTATGTTTAGACTTTAGGCTTAACTAAATCAAATCTGACTTAAATGCGGCAATGGAGTTAGGCGGTATCAAATATAATACATTTATATTTTTTTAAGAAAACATGTGACATATGCGGTATTAGTTCTCATAGCTTTCTACTTTTTTATTTTTAATGTTATCTATTTTATCCAACAGTTATGGACTGGGAAGATAGCCAGTCATCTACTGAAGAGGCGACAGAGCAGAATGATAACTTTTTTAGCGATTCCGAACTTTACGCAACCCTTGAAGAATACCATAATGCAAATAGTTCTAGACTTGTACGAGGAGACAAACGTAGAAAACAGTCTCCTGATGGTCTGATTTCACTAGGAATAGGTCCTAAAGCTGCCGAGTTGTCGCTTAAAGAAGAACTGCTTATTTTGCCACATGAAAGTGTAAATAAAGATTTTCGTCTGCAAACTCTAAATCATGAGGAAAATTCCAACTGTTTTTTAAACATAAATACAATGGTAAATACTCAAGACGTTTGTTCGACTTCCAATGTTATTTCTACATCTAGACATTTTTTGTTTGAAAAAAAAAAAGACTTTCCCACTTAAAGAGAATTTACTGGAGAATATTCAGAGTCCGATATTAGTTAGAGATGTGTCTGAATCTCAAAACCACAAAAATGTCATTCCAGAAGATCCAAACCAACTCGAAGCAGGCACAGATGAGGATAGTGATTATGAACCTGAAGGAAATTTAGAATCAAACATTCCTTTTGATGGCGATGCACATGCAGAAAAAAAACGAAAGAAAGGAAACCGAAGTGAATGGAAAACCACAAAAACAAAAGATTAAGAATGGAAGGAGAATCCTATTTAGGATATCGAAGAACTTAACAAGGGAAGATTTTTCACGATGTTGAGAAAAATGAACGCAGAATGGGACCACCCTGTCGTTCTGAGATGTGCAAAAAATCGAAGAACAGGTCATGCAATGAATTGCAAGAAGAAAAAAGAAAAGATCTTTTTACTGCTTTCTGGAAAAAAATAACCTGTGATCAAAGAAAAACGTTCATACTGAAGAAAAGCAACCCGTTAAACGTCGCCGAAATCAAAGTGAGAATTCTAGGCGTCAAGCATCCCTCCATTATTTTATAAATATTAATGACAATAGAAAACAGGTTTGTTGTAATATGTATCTTAATACGTTTGGAATTAAAAAATGGACAGTACGTTATTGGATAGATAACATTCAGAAAAAGGGAACAACTATAGCTCCAAGTTCTTTAATTACTCATTCACGGACTGCTGATGTAGCTTTACGTAGACGAAAAGATGACAAGCTATTTTTTAATATATTTTTCGAATCGTTACAAAAAATGTAGACAATCTACCACCCGAAAATATCTAGAACCTTTAGTTACGTCAGCCTCTCAGCTATACAATTTATATCTTAAAAAATGCCAACAAGAAAATGTTACAAAAGTGAGCAGATATACATTCGATTCAATTTTTAAAGGACAGAATCTTTCACTGTTTTCTCCAAAAAAAGATCAGTGTGATTTGTACTGTGCTCACGAAACTGGAAATCTTGCTGAGGAAGAATACGCTAAACATAAAGAAACAAAGAATAGGGCCAGAACTAAAAAAAACCAGGACAAAGAAAAGTCAGTAAGTAATTTAGCACACGTATTTACCAAAGATCTCCAAGCTGTTAAGTTATCTCCTCTTACAAGGGCTAGCGCGTTTTATTATAAAAAAAAACTAAACGTACACAATTTTACAATGTATAATCTCCAAACCCATGAAGTTGTTTGCTACTGGTTTGAAGAGACCGCCACGGATCTTGTAGCTTCTTCATTTGCATCATGCATTGTTCAGACACTATCTAAAATTTTATCAGATAATTTATTACCGGTTATCCTTTGGTCTGACGGCTGTAATTATCAAAATCGGAATACAGTTCTATCTATTGTCTTGTTACATTTAAGCAAAGAGTTGAATGTTGATAAAGAACAGAAATTTTTGACCAAAGGACATACGCAGATGGAGTGCGATTCGGTACACAGTGCCATCGAAACAAAACTGAAAAACAAGTATCTACCTGGACAATACTGTACTATTACAAGGGAAGCTAGACGAAAGCCTTTCCCATATGAAAGCCATTTTCTTGATCATACTTTTTTCAAATACTATTCTCACAAAAACTTTTTGGTGTATGATTCAATTAGACCAGGAAGAACTACTGGTGATCCAACCGTTGTGGATATCAAGGCGATTAAGTATAGTAAGGGTGAGATTAGTATTAAAACCAACTTTGATCACGAGTATTCTGCTTTAGCCAAAAGACCGAAAAAAGCTGCTGATAGCTTCTCTTTACTTTCCAGTGCATCTCCTCTAAACAAAGATAGGCGAAAAATTTCATACTCAAAACGGAGAGACCTTCAGGAACTAAAGACAGTCTTAACTCAAGATTGTCACTCATTCTATAACGAGATTCCTCATGATGAACGCAATTAACAAGCTAAAGTTAAATGCCTTTTTTTATATTTTTTTGATTATAACCATCTCAGCGGATTTATGATTTTTCTCTGTTCTTTTTTATCAGTTACTTTTCTTTAATAAGCTAAGCAATGAATATAATTTGTGTTTTATTTGTCTTTGACGTTATTACTAATGTAAGTACTTTTTAAAAATAAATAACTTGGTAATAATTATCGTTAATCATTATTATTTTTCTCCTATTTTGAATATACATAATACCGCCTATATACATTATACAAGTTCTAATAATTTTTGATGAACCAATACCGCCAAAGTATCAAAAACAAACTTGAAAATAACATTAAAAAAAAAAACATTCAATTAATAAATTGTTGTATATTTTGATCTTATATGACATTAAACTTGTAACAGGTTTTCAATAATTCCAGTTATGAGGCAGTTTTTATTGCCTCCTGAAAAGTTAGCTTTTTGGTACTTAGGCGGTTTTGTTTCTTAAACGACGATATACAGGGTGTCCCAAATTGTTTTACCCATGCTGTAACTTCTAAACCATGCAAGGTAATTAAACCAGACAAAAGTCATTCATTATAGTTGGCGGTGTACTTTAAAACAAATAAAAATTTGATGACCCACCCTCAAAAACTACCCTCTGGAACAACCCCCTCAAATATTTTTAACGACACCCTAATTTTTTTGCGCTTATTTTTGTAGTCGCTACTTTTCTCTGTACAACTGTTTTTAAAATTTTGAAATCGCTCCATAAATAAGTGAGATTCGTTTTTTTTTTTTTTTTTTCATTTTCATCAAGTTGCGTCCTGTCAAATTCATGGTAAGTTTTCTAGCGCATTATAAACAATACTATATCAATCTGTCTCTTGTCAAACAGAAGTGCACTCGATAAAGTTAGCAGTTTTTACTTGATAAAGTTTGCAATAATTTAGAGTTTGTCAAGTCCTAACAAATTATTTCAAAATGCCTAATCTGTTTAGTTCCAACAATTACACCGATATGATAATTATTTACGGCGAATGTCGCAATAATTCAAGACAAGCTAGACAATTATACTATGAATATTTTCCGAATAGAACAATTCCCTCAGTTAGAAAGGTTTTCCAATTTAGAAAGAAGTTTTAGACAAGGACATTTTCCTGACGGTAAACATCATGGAGGACACAACAGAATGATCAGAAATAAAGAAAATATTATACACGTTTTGGCTTACGTTCATGTAAAACATAATGACAAAACACCAATGCTATCTTGGACTGATGTAGTCTACAGTATTTCTTTTGTGGATTGTAACTCAATATACATAGGTCAAACTACAAGACCATTAAAAGACCGCATAACATCCCACAAGAGCGACTGCAGACAACACCCAGAACATTGTGGATTAGCAAATCATGCAATTTAGAATAACCATACCTTCAACTTCCAATATTGTTCTTGGAAAAAAATCTTTCTTCATGTACCAATTTAATTAATAATAATAATCTCAATTTAACTGAAATTTAACTTTATAATTCATTTAATCACGAAATAAAGAGGTTTGCTACGAAACATAAAGGTCGACTCCACTTCCACGTCAACGAAGAAGCGCTGCAATTACTGGACAACTCTACACTCAACAGAAGGCCTAAAAGGAAGAAGCCATTTGAGCTAGTGCAGTGAACGTTAACCCTTCGTTAGTGTACCATAAAAAAAAATACATAATAAGTGTTCCGGGGTATGTGATACCCCACAAACAAAATCACTTAAAATATTGTTTTTTTTTTTATTTTCTTGATTTAATTATCAAATGTGACTTTTTACTTGGTCTTGAACCAAATAAAACAAAAAATATCGGTAGCAGCAGCTTTTATTTAAAATAATATTATTTTTGAACAAAACATCAATTATAATGTTCAACGAAAAAGCACAGCTACTCTTGAAACTGATATTGGTAACCTACATACTACTATATCAAATTGAAACATATGTTTTAAAAAAATATCTGCAAAACAAAATACAACTTAAATTAAAACATTATTATTCTAAATAAAAAAGTTATAGTCTCTCGAAAGTGGCACAATTTTCGCAGCTGAAAAACGCGTGCTCTAAGCACAGTGGAGTGTCACACTGCATACATCCATAAAAGGTTTTTCTGTCCTTGTTTCTTGGACAAACGGAACATCTAGTACTTGTCCTCCGTCGTTTTGGACCAGGTTCATGATGTTCCGCTGGCTCCACCTCTCGTAGTCCTCGACGTAAATAGGGGTTTTGTACTCGCTTAGTTCTAAACTCTGATATTAGTTGCATACCAAGTTCTTTCAGAAACAAACGTCTTTTCAGATTATAATTTTTCGTGTTCTCTTTATATATTACCTGAGAATTTACTCCGCCGGTGTTCAAGAACGAGAAAAACATAGTAAGAGGCCAGCGGCGACTGTTTCTTGCTACACTGTAATTGGCAGATAGTTCATCCAACGTATCAACTCCGCCCTTTGTAGAATTATAAAAATCGATAATTTCAGGCAATTTTTTATCACCAGATTCTTCAACTATAGAATTTTCATGGTGTAAAGTAGAAAAAAGAATGACATTTTTAGATTTTTTTGGAACATATGACACAGCCGTAATATCCTCTTTGAAGGCAAACATTGAACTGCGAGGTTCTCTGGTTCGTATGTTTAGAAGAGCTAATGGTATTTCCCTTTTATTTTTTCTGACTGTCCCAACCGATGTAAGCTGATGAGTCTCTAGTAGATTGATCATCAGAGGGTAGCTGGTAAACCAGTTATCGAAAGTAATATTCCGTCTTTTTCCAGATACTGGCGCAATCAAACGTTCAACTATGTCTTTTGGGCTGTTACTTGTTTGGAAAGGACCTTCTGGCTGTCTACCAACGTATGGTTCCATGTTCAGGCAATAGTATGTCTTTGCGTCAACGAGAGCGAATACCTTTAACCCGTATTTTGCGGGTTTATTGGGGATATATTGAAGGAACGACACCCGTCCTCTGAATGGCTCCAACTTCTCATCAATTGTTAGGTTTTCACTAGGCGTATAATGTCTCTTACAATTATCGACTAAATGTTCATATACACCCCGAATTGCTGCCAATTTGTCAATTTCTTTACGATGTGCTCGGGTGGTGATGTTGTCAAATCGAAGTGACTGTAGTAAAATATAATATCTTTGCTGTGACATAGTTGTACGAAATAAATCAATACCACTACCGTCAGTGTTCCAAAGATCCGCAGTATTTTGACGATTTGCCTTATATAATCCAGTCAAATAAAGTAGGCCAATGACTGCTTTAATTTCTGCTTTATCAGTAGGTTTTACTAGGTACTGATGTCTTTTATCATACCTAGGGGTTTTAGTTGCTAATTTTACATTTGTGTAACGAACAATATCATCCAACAGTTCTTCTGTGAAAAATAGTAGCCAACAATCAAGAGGTGTTTTCTTTTCTCGTGCAATGCCTTTCACACCGGGTAAATGAATTATTATATTTTCTGATCTCGTTCTTACGTTTCGGGTATTTGGAAATTTTGACCATTTTGTTTTACACTTATCCAAAAAATACCTATTATTATTGGCAAGTGCATCATTTTCAGAGTCTTCCGCTTCTACAATATTTTTAGGCAATACTTCCACTTCCTCTTCTGACTCCTCTTCCTCGATTTCTATGTTTATTTCCGCTTCTAATTCTTCTCCTTCGGACTCACTACCTACAACAGGTTCATCATCGTCGGACAACCCACCAAACTCTTCCCATAACCTCCTAAGCCTTCGCTGATCTTCTTCGTATGACATATTGCTAAAATGTAGCACAGTAACAACTAATCATTCAGAAATAAGGTAAAAAGTCTCATTACTTACCATTCAAAACGATGTACACGCAAAGTTACGTAAATAGTGTACCGGGGTATGTGACGCCCCGACTGTCTTCGCCGAGATCTAGAATCAAACTAAACGCCGATAGAGAGGCTACCACAGTTGTATTCTTCCAAACTATATATGAACTAAAGCTATCGGCCGCTAGAGGTCTCTAGCTTTTCTAATTTTAATTGTATAGCTGCAAATAGAGGTACTGGGGTATGTTATACCCCGGAACACTAACGAAGGGTTAATAATATTAGTGCTAGTGTAAAACAGTGTAATAAATCGTCACGCCAACTTGTGATGCTTTCCTACAGTCCAATGGAGACTTCTTATATAAGTAATTAATTCATATGATTTTTAGATTAAAATTGTAGGTCATTCAGTAATGACTAGTAACAATATTCTAACAAAATAGTTATTAATGCAACAAGTGCAAAAAGTAAGTGTTTATTGCACGCGACGTGAAACTGTCCAACGAGGCCGTCAGGCCGAGTTTGACAACACGTCGAGTGCAATAAACACTTTTTGCACAAGTTGCATACATTTTTTCTACGTTCATGCAAAAACCAAAAAATGTTTTATAGAACTGCAGTTGTATTATCCAAATCATAGTAGCCGTGATCGTGTACCTTTGTTTGAGGCATTTATGTACGTTTGTGTTCATAATTTGTAATGACATTTTTAATAAAATACATTTTTCTATTAATTTATTTATTAAATGATTGAAAATAATATAAAATATGCAATTGTTTTTAAAACGTAACACAGAAAATGAAAATGGACTAATATTTGGCGTTGATTTGATTATTTATGTTTGTCATGATCATAAAACGCTGTAGTAAAATGACAGATGAGTGCAATAAAATTTTTATTGCACTAGTGCAATACAGAACCAGTTTTTTCACTAAATATAGTTTAATAAAGTTTTGTTTTTTGCATGAACGTAGAAAAAAAATCACTAAAACTCTTATGGGAACTTGCTTTTCTGAAAATTTCATCAAATATTCTTTAACAATATTTGGTAACATTTCAATTTGTCATAAATTTAACAATTAACTTAACCACCATAATGTACGATAATTATGTCTCTCTCCGAATCAGAGGTTATAGGTGAGGAGTGTCATTAGCTCCTCACTACCCCCTCT